GTGGTTAACTGTTTGGAGAAATGATGAAATTATATTCCCATCTTATTCTATAGGATAAATAGGATTCTAGTGAATTGAGGACCTCAATGTGAAAGACAAAAAGATGAAGGAAGAAAAAAGAGGATTGTGAAGGGGAAGAAGGAGAAAAAGAACACCCGGACCTGTGTTAGTCAGACTTCTATCATTGTAACAAAATGCTGAGAAAATTAATGGAAGAGGAGGATGGATTTGCTTTGGCTCACAGTTGAAGAGGTTCCAGTCCCTGTGTTGCTGTGGGTGGAGCTGCTCACCTCATGGTGACTGGGAAAGAACAAAGAGAGGAAGGAGTCACAGTGCCAGTTCTGTTTCAAGGGCACGGTCCCAGTGATGTAATTGCCTTCACCTTTCCCCAGCACCCCCTCCTGAAGGAGCCACCATTTCCTAGTAGCACCAGAGCTGGTGCCCACGCCTTTGACACACAAGCCAAGATCTGTGGTGATGCCTACAGATCAGGAACAGGAGATCAAACATAATGGGAGAATGAGAAAAAAATCTCATGATCAGATCTTCATCATCAGGCTTTATGTGATTTGGGCATGGAAAGATGTCATTTTGATGTATAGTTTTCTTGGTGACAGCTTAGAAAAGAGGAAATGGAACAAGCAAAGAAATGTAAAAATACACTTATTAGTAATGATGAGGGTTTAAGATCTCAGGAGGAAATTAAATCTGATACGATTAGATGGTGTTGTGTTTGTAATGCAGAGAAGTCACACACTGCTGGGAAGGAGCTGAGACCACCACTCGGCACCATTTTGGCCGTGGAATATCTGAGGTTCTGTCTCTCCATGGACCCCAGCAGCTGCAGCCTTCATGCTGCAGGCTGTGGGGGTGACTGTGTCCATAGCAGCTCCGCTGGGTCTACCATGTCCCAGGGGAGGGAGGGACAGTAAGGAAGTAGGGGTGCAGTGGGGGTGTCTTCTTCAAACACACTGGGCTGCACCTGTCAAACAAACTGGCCTACAGCTGTCTTATTTCCTTGGAGTGAGCTGGAGCGCTTCTGACAGAGGAGGAGTGAGTGGTGGCGATGGAGTGCCTCACACTGGCTGTGGAAGGAGGTCAGGCTCCCACACTGATAGGCAGAGGCCCTGTTCCTGAATGCATGGAGGGCGGGAGGCAGAATTGTTGACTGTGGTGATTGTGAACCCAAGAGTGAGGTGAAAGCAGAGCCACCAGCTCTGGGAAGGTCCTCTTCAGATCTGATCCTTGGGCAGCTTGATGCCAGGGTGGTGGTGGTGCTGGGGCCGTGATGACAGCAGTGTTTGCCGTGCCCCAGACTGTTCCTACTGAAACCCGCACAGCAGTCCTATGAAGCAGGCATCATTTCCTGTGGATTAGAAAACTGAAGTTCTTTAAGGCTTTGAGAACTTTGTCCAGGATGAGTCTGTACAAAGTGTGGGAGCTGGGAGTCACATTAGATTGGGGTGATGTCTCTGTCTCTGTATTATCAGGCGTAAAGCTCGATTGTGCAGGAAACTGTCTAGAAAGCCTGCTGGCCTGGTGGTACATGCCTGTCATCCTAGAACATGGAAAGCTGAGGCAGAAGCATCACCTCAAGTTCAAGGGCTAGCTAATGAGATCAAGGTGAGCCTGGACTACATAGCAAGACCCTGTTTCAAAACACCAAAAACAAACAAACCAAACCAAACCTATGGTAGGAAGCCTGACAGATACAAGTCATAATGAAGGTCTGCTGTCAGGCCCTGTTGTCTTATTTCTGGTATCAGTCCACCCCTTGATCTCATGAGGAAGAGGCGCGGGCTCTTTGCCTGGGTTCAGTGTTTCTCATTTGACAGGGCATCCTGTGTCATTGTATGTTATTTCCCTGAAAGAGTTTAAAAATAGCTCTGTGGGACACTGTGGCTTAATGTTTTAAAATGTTTACACTGAAATTTTGAGTAGATAATGAGACTCATGGTTCAAAGGCCATTTATGGCATTGTCTTATGCAGACTGAGCCTGGGAGCCATCCACAACTTTGAGCACTACTGTGAGTTGCTTTTTTATCCCTATGAATTTTTTTGATCCATGCAAATATGAATATAATTTATTTTCTTGTTTGAACTCTGTGGCAGGCACAGTACATGTTCCTACACAGTGTAAACAGAAGTGGGTTCTAAATGCTGCCTTCTGCCAGTGTCTTGTATTTTATTTCAACCAGTGCTCTTTCCCTGGCAAGTTTCTCCCCAGGCTTCTGTAGTCATACATAGTGCACCATGGGTGTACATACCCGTAGATGCAAGTGGAATATCTGTGGAGTAGCTTCTTCCTAGTGTAGGAAATATTAGGCTTTAAAGACATCACCAGCTGACTCTGTCAGCTTTCCATTACTCTGACAAAACACTGGAGACAATGAACTTATCAAGTGGGGAGGTTCTGGCTCACAGTTGCAGAGGATTTTTACACGGTGTTTGCCTGTTGCTTTGGGTCTGTGGTGAGGCAGCACATTTTTGGGGACCTGGCCTAGATCCCAAATGAGTTTATGGCAAAGGTTTAAATAAATGAGATAAGTGGTATGATTTTAGGGCTTGGAGAGGATCAAAACCCTCTACAGAGTTTGTGGACTCTGATGGCTGAGACAGGGGATGCCTCTGGGCAGCCTGTATTTATTATTTTTTCAAAGAACACAGGAAACTGAACAGATCTTGGGAGTGGCTCACGTTAACAAGAAGTATTTTAGGAGATCTCCATGTTGCATTTCGCTACAAGAGTGAAATGCCTGCGGCTGAGCCTTTATCTAGTTAATTGCAGCTGGAGCCTGGTACCCTCAGCCGCTATCTTACCTTTCCCTGGCCGTGCAGCAGCCCTGCATGTGTGTTCAATTTCCAGTTTCAGTGGCTCCCAACAGTGGGTCATGGTGGAAGTGCATAGTGGGGCACAGTGCTTACCTCATGGCAACCAGGCTGTGAAGAGAGCACCCCGTCTCCTCTTTACCAGCACTGCTCCGTGACAGCACCTTCCTCTAGAACCTGCCAGAAAGGCTCTACTACCACCCGCGCTCCGTGGGCTGAGAACTGAGCTCAGGGACTTAAAGGGGGACACATCTGCCCCTGTTTCCCCTCTCTGCAGTCATGTGGTAAGGGGGTTCTGACACACGCCTGAGCTCAGCTGGCTCTGTGCAGGTGTGGTCAACTGGTAGACGATGGGGTAGACTCTGAGTGTCCCCCAAGACTTTCTGTGTGGAGATGCAATCCCTGTTGTGTGGTAGGAAGAGGGAGAAAACCCAGCGGGCTGTAGTGTGTACACGTGGGGCGCTGGGAGGTGATGACGGCTGATGGGGTCACTACGTGGAGCCCTAAAAAGAAGCCCTGGTGCTGCAGGAAGAAGGACAGGGACCACACACGTGGTGTGAAAGGGAAAGTTTGTTTGGGAAAAGTGCTTTGCCGTGAGTGCCCCTCGAGATGCCCCTTGCTCCACACTCCCATCATGTGGGCCACTTCCCACAGCACTCGAGTCCTTGTATCTGAGTGTCTAAAAATCTGAGAATACTTAAAAAGAAAACAACTTATTACTGGACCACTAAACCCCTCAAGATACTCCCCAGACACACTTCTCCCTCTGTTTTGCCATTTCTGGAGCATTTCTGCAGTCCTCCTTGTGAGTCTTTATAAAGTGTGATAAATACGGTGGACGCAGCTGCCCACCGCCATCCAAAGGCACCTCGTAACATGTGACTGTGCCCTCATCCACCACCCCTCCGGTCTGCACTGCAGGACTCTCGCTCCTCCCTACAGTCAGAATGACCGTGGAAGGGAGATGTGTTGAATGGATTCAGGACATCGAGGCAGCCAGGACATCACAGCTGAAGAGGCTCAGGAAAGAGGACTCCAGAACTGCAGCAGAACGAGGCGGGAACAGTGGGATGAGAGTGTTCAAAGGCAGAGGCGGAGTTTGAGGGGATTCATGGCAGTGTGTCTTGGACTGCAATAACTTTGCTCTCTTGGTTCCTGATGCTAGGTTCTCCCCTGCCAGCAAGAAGACCACGCCCAGACTGTAAGCTCTTGGTTCCCCAGAGCCATGGGCTATAAGCTCTTTCTTTACCAGTAGCCCATCTCAGGTCTTCATTACAGTCATGAAGAACAAACTGATGTGTAACTCAGCTGTGTAGGCAGTGGAGGAAGGAAAGGGCTGCTGGATGGAGAGTGAATGTCAAACACTGAGCTGAGAAAGTTCTTGGGAACCGTCCGGTAGGAGAGTGTCACAGTCAGCGGTTTGGAAGTGCTCACTATGAGCCATGCAGTTATTGTCGCACAGTGATTTGGGGAAAGCTGTTTTGCAAAAGGAGGAGCTCGGCAGGAGGTGGCAAGCCGCCTTCTGGGAGGGTGGCTTCTCACCCTCCCACTGGGAATGTCTTCAGCTGCCCTGCTGCGTGGTGGGTTGTGGAGCAGTGACCAGGAGGTGGTTAGAGATGCTGCAGCCCTCTGGGCTGCTCCCCAGGGCTCAGGCTGGCCTGTTGTGCAAGCACCAGGGTCAATGACGTGGTTGCTTAAAAGCCAGGTGTGGTAAACCCAGATGTTTCCAGAGAATCTGCTGTCTAGACAGCCCTGTGTTGAGCTGAAACCTGTTCTTTGGATTTATGGATATGATTTGCTGAGAGCTGGAATTCACGAGTCGCCTGTGGGTTCCGAGCAAGGTTGGTGCCAGTGACCAACCGTGGTGTGGGCAGCCTGTGGGTTCACTGAAGTCTCTGAAGGCCAAGAGCCTCCGTGCATCAATCTCTTCACTTTTCACTTTGATCTGGAAGTGTTTCCTCCACTGGCCGAAGGCAGAGGAAACCAGCGCCTGGTTTTGTGACATCCTGGCAGCTTCAGAATCAGCTTGTCTTCTTTCTGTGTACCTGTCCTGAGCCAGGCAGAAACAGACCATCCTGACCGGCTTCAAAGACTCAGCCTGGCAGCCTTTCCAGATACACGCTGTACACTGGCCTGCTGGGAGAGGTGACCTGTGCTTTCCTGTTTGTAGGCTGGTGATGTACATCGAGAGAGACAGCAGAAGGACCTCTCCGGGCAAGGAGCCGCAGAGCGGCGGCGAGTACCTCTCTGGGTGCCTGCAGCTGCTCATCTGTCACATCACCCAGGAGCTGCCGCGGATCCTGGGTAAACGAGCCCTCTGCAGGCCTGGCTGCCGGCCCCCCCCGCCCCGCTGCCCCTGGGGTGGGCCCCGGGCACTTTCTCACTCTTCTTTCCATCCCTGCAGGCAAATGAATGCAGGGGCCTCGCCTTGCTCTTGTGGTTGGTTCTAAGATTTCAGGGGTCCTTATCTGTGTTTATAATTATTTTGCATCAATGACTTTGAGACCAGAGCAGGTTGAATGTTACACTGAGGTTTTATTGGAAGCAAAATTACCATTTTAGAGCATGAACAAAATGAAAGCTTTTTAGTTGCTTACAGTGGCCCTCACACAGATGTTTCTGTTAATTTTTCTGAAGATTTCTCTCCACTTAAATCTGAAGAGAATAATTGCTCAGGATCCCGTATACAGGCATGCAAAATTGATCAAACAATATGATTTCCCTTTTGTAACTTGGATTTTACTTACTTTCAGTTTCTTTTTCTTTTGTCTTTTTTTTTTTTTTTTTTTTTTTGGTACAGGGGATTGAACTCACAACCTCGACTTGCCAGGCAGGCACTTATGCCTGCCGCTGAGCTAAATCTCCAGCCTTACTTTCAGTTTCTTACATTAGCAAAACAGTCTGGTGTTTACACGCGAGTCTGCTTTATTTCACTTATGAGTGTGCTGTCTAGTTGCATCCATTTACCCATACAAACCTTGAGTTTATCCTTCTTCATAGCTGAGTAGTACTCCACTGTATAAACGTCCTATGTCTTTTTTTCCATTCATCAGTTGATGAGCATTTGGATTGGTTCCAAAATCTGACTCCTACAAATTGTGCAGCTATAAACATAAATGCATCTGAGCAACTGTTTTGAAGATAACAATATGTAATACAGCAACCCTTGTTAAATTCCGATCATCTTATTTTGATATCTTGTATCACTGTGTGTTGTTGTCATTGTCATCGTTTGGCTTTTGTTTGTTTGTTTGTTTGGTTGCTTGATTACTTTCTAATTTTTCTGTGCTTTATTTTCCCTTTATAAAAAAAAGAACTGAAGAAAATAATTTTCCCATGATGAGAGCCACAAGTCAGTTTATTAGAAGAATTTTAAGAGGCATAGGTTTTACATTTAAAAATTGAATTGTCAAAATTTAAAGAATTTTGACAGCATTGGTCAGTATTCAAGTTCAAATTTAAAAAATTTCTTTGGTTTAAAAATTGCCTTGTATAATTTTTAAAATTCCTTTTATTTCAAGGAAAAGAGAAATTATCTTACAATAATAGCTAATGATCTATAAAGGATATTTGCTACAACAAGAAGTCTTTATTTTGTTGTTTGCAGAATTTAAAATGTGGAATGTGCGCTCTTGGTACCAGCCCCTTTTTGTGCTTTCTGGCAGATGTGCTGTAAACCGAAGCATGAGAAGTGTTAAATGGTGAAAATCTCCTTATACTGAGCGACAGTAACTTTTGTTACATGTTTCAGGACTTTTGTCCCAGTGATTGAAACTAGAGCACCCCTAGATTCATTCTGGATTCAGACTTTGGTTTACCTCCAACCTGACTGTTATGACCTGGTCATTGGTAGCTGAGATTCTTACTACGAGACTGTATTTTAGGGTATGAAGATAAGATTCTAATGTCCACAAATCAAGTTATATTTATTATTGGATTTATACCCAGTGGAAAGTTTTTGGGAATTGAGTTCTTTCTGCTTCCGTACTATTTTGTTTTTCTGTGACTTGTAATTTGTTCATTTATTCAGTAACTTTAAAATGATTATTCCTGTTTACTAAAGTAATGTGAGCATAGTTAGACTTCTGAAAATACATAAGAATATTCGAAAGTCACCACTTTCCAGTAACTTTTCGTAGATTCCATCTGTGATTTCTAGATGTGAGGCTAATTGGAAGGGTTTATGCGGAGCACCCACGCTGGCCCCAGGGGCCGTGCGTGTCAATTTTGGTGTGTGTGAACAGGGAGGAGGTGGCTTGCACTTCCATGGGTGGGGTGTGGATTACTGGGACTTCACTCAGGTTGTGGAGCCCTGGCCCTGCCCCTCCAGGTCTGTAACCTTCAGCTTCTGCTCTGGGCTCTGCAGGTGATGTTCTCAGCGCCTTGGCCAGTGTCTCTGGCCGGAAGCACCCGTCCACTGTCCAAGGGAGGCAGCTGAAGAACTGCCTGCCCCTGATGCCCATCGTGCTCCACCTGCTCACTTCTCAGGTACTGTTGTTTCTGGGAAGTGGGGGCCTGACTGGTGTGATCCGCAGCACGGTGTGTGGTTAAATTTTAGTTTTATCACAGTGGAAGACATGTTGGCCTGAATCCCTTTCAGAATCCTCCCCCGGCTTCAATCACACTCATCCCACTGTTCTCACCACTTCTTCCCAGAGCCATTCTGGGGTCTTCTTTAGTGCTTTTGAGAAATGTGATAAAAAAAAATATGGTGAGCACTGCCACTGAGCACCATCCAAGGAAAGGCGGCTTGTAAAAAACGCTATGTCCACCTTGTTCACTGAATCTGGCACCTCGGGACCTCTGGCTCTGCCCCAAAGGCAAAGTGACCATGAAAGGGAAACATTTTGAATCAGTTTAGGACCTCAAGGCAGCCAGGACAGCACGCTGAAGATTTCACGAAGGAGGGCTGCAGAGCGGCTGTGGAAGTGGCCGGGACCCGACAAGTGTGTGCAGGATGATGGGAGGAGTTCCAGCCCGCCTTGTGGGTTTGGCTCCCCGTTTGTGAGCTCCAGCTGAGAAATGTCAGCTGAGACGAAACAGTTTGTTTCTTGAATTAAAAGTGGTCTTGGCTTTCAGGATTTAATCTGTGGAAACTCTTATCACATAGGTATTTCGACCACAAGTGGTAACGGAGGAATTTCTCTTCAGTTATGGAAGTATTCTTGTGAGTAACTCCGCTGAGTGTTTTATGTTCTTACTAAAATTGTGGCTGTTTCTCTACTGTATGTGGAATTTGATGTCAATATGAGGTAATTTAAAAATTCTAGTGGCATTTATTTGTCTCTGGGGAACTGGCCTTTTCATATTTTTATCTGTTGACTGTTAATAGAAGTTGACATTTGGAGAGAAAATGTATTCTGTCCTGATAATGTGTTTTGTTGCGACAGCCCTAAATATGGTAAATAAGCACAGAGAAAGCCTTTCATAGGCTTTGGTATTAAACCTCTTGAAGAAGTGTGGGGAACAGAACAAGAAGGTGAAACACTGGGGTCCTTGAGTCCTGGTTGCTCTGGGTGCTGGATGCTGCACTTGGCCCCCATCGAAGCTCCCAGCTCTGCACCCTCACTGTGGAGGACACCTGGTGCCCTCACCTGCAGACACCTTCACCTGTGAGCCCCTGGAGCCCGGAGAGCTTTCCATCCAGCACCCTGGCCATGCCTGCTGCAGAGCCCTGCCTCCCGTACAGCTGCAGCCTGGGCCCGTGTGGTGCTCAGCCAGTGCCCCTCCCTCCGCGGCACCTGCCCCACGGAGCTGCCTCCCTCCCTCCGTCACATCCTCTCCCTCCTTTGTGTCGCACTGAGAGTGAAGGAATAAATGTGGATGTTGCAAGCATTAACATCAGTGGGCCAGTGGCACCGTCAGTGGGGTGTTCCAGGTGATGTCTCTAACGCTGACGATGAAGAGCAGGTGCTCTGTGGGGTTGAGGTCCGTGTGCCCAGGTGCAAGCTCCTGCACTCTCTGGGGTCACTGCACAGAGAGGCTTGGGTGAGGCTGCCCACCTTCTGGGGGCGCCTGCAGGTTCCAGTTGGGAGACTGGCCTCGCTGAATTTTTACTTAGCATCAATTCCTCTTCATTCGGCAGTAGTTATGTCTCATGTTGGAACTTTGATGCAAAATTTCAGCCAAATTACAAGAAACTTCCAATACCCTGATTTTACAGCTTACTTCATTTTCCAGTCTGTTTTTTACGTTTATTCATAGGCTGAAAGAGACTTCAAAGTCTTACACATTTTCAGATTCAAGTTTCATTTCCTAGATTTTCTGATTTTCTTTATAATGTATGACATTATTTTAAGGGCAGTTTATGCTTATTTATTTAGAAATTTATATTTATGTATATTTTACATATATTTTATTTATAAATTTACAGAAAATTATGGTGAAATTGGAAGAAAACACTGTCGCTTGTAACTCTCCAACTGGGGATATTGCCTGTTAACACAGTGTTATTGCTTTAATATCTTTCATTTGTATGTAGAAAAAAATCACATCTGCTATACACAGATGACAGCCGTAGATGCATGTGCTCACACACATCGAGTTTCTGTAGGGATTCGTAGTCTGTCTTTTCAGGCTGGACGTGCTAAGCCTTCCCTGGTGCCTGAATTCCCCTCCGCCTGAACCTATTGTGTTTCCATAGGGATTCATAGTGTTACTTTTCAGACTGGACATGCTGAGCCTTCCCCGGTGCCTGAAGTCTCCTCCACCTGAATTGCTCATGCCTTTGGGTCACCAAGCATTCACTTTGCTGTTTATCAGGTGTGAAATATGTGCACAGTTTGATGAGCACAGGGCAGAGACTGTCTGCACCGTGGCGAAGTGTGTGTGGAGGGGTACTCTGCCTACCAGGAGCTCTGTCCACAGTGCTCCTGCCCCATCCCAGATGGTCAGCAGGGGTGAGAAGCCCTATCACAGGGCCGAGCTGCTGGGACAACTGGGTCTTCTTGTGTGGGGTATTGGCGTGCAGTAGGAGTGTGACCCTGGGTGTGGGTTGGGGGTGTCCAGGAGCAGCAGGAGATGGCGGGGGTCTGCAGCTGGCTGGAGACTGTCATGTATGGCCAGGCTGCCGTCTGTCCTTGGGCAACTGAGACCGGTGCTCTTCTGGGATGCCCCAGCTCTGGTGAGGACCTCACCAGCCTCCTGAGTCTGCTTGCATCACAGCGCAATCCTGGAGGCCAAGTGCTGCTGATGTTCCTGCCTTGTGATCTTTTGTCACCACTGACTCTGTTCCAGCCTCTGCACGCGTAATGGCTGTTTGTATATTTAACTATTATGGCTTGTTATCATAGTTTAAAACATAATCCTGTTGGGAATCTGTGATTCTGTTATTCACGGTACATGCAGATTATTTAAGGTTTTTCATGACTTCTTAAGGATAACAGAAGTCGTTTTGTGCAATGTATTAACTACCTGGGTTTTATCTCAGACTGAGTTTGAAAGGTTCATTGATTGAGAATGTTATTTTTTTCAGAGTCACATTAAATCGATTGACTCTGGAGAAAGCAACATAGAAGGAGCTGTGGGTGAGTAGACCACTGTGGGCAAAGGCCTGTGCGTGGATACCTCACAACTGTGCCGTGGGAGGTGCTCTCAGACCCAGAATGATGGTGCCTGTGTCCCCAGGATCGGCGGCATCAGAGGAATTCATCAAGATAACGCTGTCAGCTTTCGAGGCCATCATACAGTACCCCATGCTGTTGGAAGACTACCGCACAACGGTCAGTTCTGGCCACTTTGGAAAATCTTCTTTCTTGCCTTCTTGCTGATTGTGGCTTCTTGAGTCTCCCAGGATGTGCATGGGGCCCGGACTTGTCCTTGGGTGACATAAGTGTCTGGAGTCCGTGCAGCAGGCAAGCTCAGGGAATGTGTTGGGCCTGGCTGTGTAGCCGGGAGCGCACAGCCACAGAGCTTCAGCCCGGGCGTTGGTGCAGGAGTGTCTGGTGGCAGCTGCCAGGTCACGAAGCAGCTGCTCCCTGAACTTCCTGTACCCGCTGCGCTGCTGGGGGAGGCCTGCAGGGGCAGGAACAGCGGCTGCCCTGTGCTGGCAGAAGTCAGTATTTAGTTTGCCCTTTAGCTTCTAAACTTGGGTGCTTCAGCTCCAAACTCCAGGTCTGATAAATGCTTGTTTCCTGAGGGATAGCTTTGCTAAGTGTGAGCTCTAGGCTGCAGGCCTGCCTGCCAGGAGCCCTCAGTGTTGCGTCTCCCCTCCCTCTCCCCTCCCCCTCCCATTCCTCCTCCCTCCCCCACCCAACGCCTCTGTCTTATATTCTGAGTTAATTTTTCCTCTGACGGTAATCTCTCTTTTTATCCGTTAGCTCATTCTGAAACTCATCTTTTTTTTTCTGTAGGAAGTACCTTTGGAGTTCTGCAGACTCACTGTAATGTAATTGAACATGGCTCTGTCTTTTGTTTCATCTTCTTAGGGTTCTCTGTGCCTATGGGCTCTGCCTGTCTCTTCTCACTGTCTGGGGTTTCTCTACCGTTAGCACCGTCTTTGTCAACTCAGATTGCATGGACGCCAAGCTTTCTCTTTCTCCTTCCTAGACTTGTCTTCTCGGTGTCCTTCATTGATATATTCTGAGCGATTTCACTGGGCCTGTCCTGTCTTGTATGTCCATTCGGCTGCCAAATGCAGCCTCTGAGTTCTGTTCATTTGTAGTTCTTTCATGTCTGGATATTGTTTCTCCTGTGAATCTGGGTTCTTTTCAGTGGTTTTCTGTTCCCTGAAAATACTCTCCACTTGGCTTTTAGTCATCTGTGTTTGTCAGGTGTGGCTGCTCCGTGGCAGGCCTGCTCATTCCAGTGCTCAAAGACAGTGCTGTTGCCTCTCGTCCATGCCCAGAGTGTCTGGTTCTGGAAGACCTCACTGTTTGTCCCTGGCTGGTCATTGTCCTTAAAGTCTTCTGTGGCAATTTCCAGAGATGGAGTCTGGAGGCTGTTTTCTTGGGAAAGGCCCTGGGTTCCCCAAGGATATCTGGAGCTCCTGTGCACGGCCCTGGGAGCCCAGGGCTGTGACTACAGTTCTCCAGGATGCTCCTGGGTCTGGAGTGTGAACGACTGTGCAGGGGTTGCCTGTGCACCCAGCATTGTGGGATCTGAGAATGCGTCCCCTGTGCATGTGGTGGCTCAGAGCACTCCCTGCTCTCAGCAGCTGGTGGGAGGGACCCCAGGAGCCTGTATGGGTCTCTGTCCTGGTGCCCCTCATCTGGAGTTGGCCTGAGAGGGACCTCACTGTATTTTCAGACCTTAGTTTTAGGGTTTTGGCTTTGTGTATTTCATTGGCATCTTCTTTTGTTTTAGGTGAGTATTAATCCAGTGGACGCATCCCGACTGGAAACCCCATGTTCAGTGGCTTTCTTAGTGAAGTCCCCTGTCCTTAGTGAAGTACTTGCGGGGGTGTTGCTTATTGATTCGTTTCCCTAATGAGCAATAACATAATGACTCACATGTTGAGATCTAGGGTTTGTAAATACCTGTTTTGCACAAATAGGACTTTAATTAGTCTATTTTCTAGTTGAAATGTAAGCACACTAATTATTGAAACCATAGGTTCTATTGTGTTGGAAAAGGCACCATTGCACCTTTCTGCCTAATGAAAATGTTTTCTGATGCTGGAACTTGTGGGAAATATTCTGATTCCCTCTTTTTGATCATAATCTGAAAGTGAAAGCTGAGGTACAGCACCCCATGGGCCTCTGTGGTTTTGAACTTTAGCTCGGGCTATGCTTCTGGCTCTCGCTTAGTACCTCATTCCCTGGAAGAAGCTGAGCGTGTTTAACTCTCGCTGAGCATGAACACTTAACTCAGGTTTACAGTTTCTAGAGCGCTGAGCACCTTAGAATTGGGAGCTGCCTGTCTGGCTACAGAGCAGTCAGAAACCCACCACAGTGGTCTGCACAGAGAATTGTACTCACTCAGTGGTTTCCAAAAGTATTAATAGCACAGGGAGACACAAAGGTGATTCCTTTTTTTTTTTCTAGAAAACTGGACAATAATATTTGCTAAAATGCATTTTAATTTCTCTGATTTTAAAAAGATAAACCCTAATGATTTAAGAAAAATGAAAAGCCTGCCCTTTTGTAAATTTTGAATTAGAGACTGGATGCTGACATTGAGTATTTAACATTATCTAAATATGGAGTCTGTGCTGTGTATTGTTGAGGCTGTAACAGGTATTTACAAACGAATCAATAAGCAACACCCCCTCAGGAGCTACTGGTAGGGGTGTAAATTGTACACCTGAGCTGGGGCAGAGGTAGAACTCATGGTACAGCAGGACCCTTGACTTGGCAGCTTCCTCCGCGTATGTGCTCAGCAGTGGTGGGAACTTAGGTTCCCTGCACTACAGCTCCAACAGTGCCCTGCCCGCTGAGCATGGAGGTGCCCTCGGTGCCTAAGTAACAGTGCGGTCACAGTGATCTGAGCAGCGTGCTCCAGCCGGCGTTCGGCACGGGAACAGAGGCACAGATGCAGATAAAATGCTGCCACGCACACAGAACTTAGCAACAGATGAAGCTGGCACTCCCACCGTCGGGACAGCGGCTGTCCTGGGGTGGTGGCTGAAGTGGGGCCTCAGGTGAGGTCGGGGTTCCGTCAGCCCTTCCTCATTCCGGAGATGCCCTCAAAGGCGGCACCTTCCAGGTGCTGGGATGACCTTCCCCTTCCTTTTCTTGTTTTTTTTTTTTTTTTTTTTTAATATGTAGCATATAAACCAGCTTTTAAAAATCGAGCTGGTAGCTCATGGAAAAACATGTATTCAGCCAGGCGTGGTGGCGCACACATGTACTCACAGCACTTAGAAGGCTGAGACACAAGGATTGCTGTGAGTTTGTGGTTGGCCTAGGCTATGCAGTGAGACCTCATTTCAAAACAAAAACAAGACAGCGATGTATTTGGAGTGGTGTCACGCCTTTCCTCATCTCCGAGTCTCCAAACAGCCCTTGTCCTCCAATTTGTCTTCTCAGGGCTTCTTTATGTGAAGAGATACATATTTTACTATTTCCCCCTTATCCATGGTAACACATGTATTTTACATTTTACTTTGAAATAACGAATGTGGGAATTGACTGCATTTTAGTTCCCAGTGCTGCTCCTCCTCTTTAGTAGATCACATAGTACTTCATCCTGTACCACACATGTCTGCCTGATCCCCGCAGGCTGTTCGCCCAATAGACTCCCAGGCTTCGGCCTTCAGACGGTTTCTAGTACTTTACAGTCACAGATAATAAACAGCTGTGCCCTCTTGCAGCTTTGTGCTGTGGGGTGCTGTGTCTTCAGGGAGAGTTCCTGAAAAGGCATTTTACATCAGGATACAAGAGCAGATACAGCCTGCTTTGGGGGTGTGACCAGTGTCCTCTGCCCCTGCAGGGCGGCTCCCACTGTGCTGTGCCTGGAGCAGCATGCAGGTGCTCTTATCTCCACCCACAGTCCACCTGCTGGCAGGAAGCAGATACTGTGGCCCTCAGTTCTTGAATGGTTTTATTTGTGAACAGTTTGGTTATATTGTTTTGTTGCAAATTCTGTGTCTGGTGATGCACAGGACCATTGCCATCTTTTCCAGTCATGAAACAAATTAAGTTTGTGAATCACACCACTGTATAAACAGCGTTTTGCCGAGTTTTCTCTGCGGCTCTCCTTTGAGTATCCCCCTGGGCCCTCTCTGTCCCTGGTCCCCGTCACCAATGTCCTGTGTATCAGATGCTACTTGGGGTGAGGGAAGGTGGCTGGTGAGCTGGCCAGGTGTCTTGGTTACTTTTCTCTCTGTGCTGGGACAAAATATCCTACACCCAAAATGAAGGAAGAAAAGGTTTATTTAGCTCACAGTGTTTGGAGGTTTTAGTCCATAATCAGCTGGCTCCAAGGCAGGGTGGCCTGGCACAGGGGCAACAGTTCAAGGCAGCAGCCAGAGCGAAAGGGGGGCAAGAGCAAGCCTCTTGTCCTCTCTTATATTGTACACAGGTCACCCCCTCCCCTGCCAGGGCTGGTGTTGCACTCAGGAAACCTCTGTGCTTCCTCTCACGTAGGATGAAGATGAAGATATTTACAAAGTAAAGATCCTGAGTATCTCAGTTAAACTCCTAAACTTCTTAAATATCAACCATGACCCTGGGCTACCATTGTGCTGCCAGGTGTTGTAGGCTGGATGGGTTGGCTGAGGGGAGGCAGGCGTGGGTGGCTTCCATGTGGAGAATGAGGATTTCAGTGGAGAAAACTCTCCAGGTGTCACCAGTGAGATAAACCCAAAGTAAAGAAAGCTCACGTCTGTAAACAATAGTGTTTCTTTGCACTATACCTTGAGGTAACTAACATTTAAAATTTTACATTCATGTCTTCTTTCTTTTTTGCTAGAGTCACTGTATATTTTAGTGCACATTTTCTCTGAAGATATATGGTCTCCTTTTTCTTAAAAATAATACAATTTTCCTGATCCTTGCAGTTATTGAATAGAATATGAATAAATTGATTAGACCATCTTTTTTAAAGTGCACACAGATTCAGCCAGCACAGCTGACTGTTATAGTCTAGCTCTAACCATTGCGCCTCATTTCTGTTCTCTATGCACCCCACTGCCCCCCCTTCCCCCTTCCTATCTATCTAGGTTAAGTTGCAATTTCCTGAAAAGCTGTAAAAGTCTTAGGTTTCAGTTTCCTGTAACCCCCTTCCCTATGCCTCATCCGGCTATCTGTAATAAAATGTGCTGTTCTTTAAGAAACGCTTAACTTCAAGGAACTTACAGGAAGCTCTGTAAGGCCCAGATGCTATCTAACTGGGTCAAAGTTCGCAACATTCCTGTGGTTTTCAGCTTTAAAACCCAACCTTTCTAGCTGTAAGGTGTGCAGTCTCCAAATTGGCTCCCCGGGATTGCGTCGCCAAGCCTGGCCTACAATAAAGCCTTTGCTCCCCAAATTTTAATTTCTTGCTTCCTTGGGTTTTATTCTGGGGTCCGAGCTATCACACTGACAGTGTGTGTACTGTGCGTGGACAGGTTTGTTTTGTTGTCATCTCCTCTGAGCAGTGTAGAACAATTAGCATTTACATTGTGGTGAGTGTCATAAGCTACCGAGGGAAGGTTTGAGCTATGCAAAGACACGTGGAAGCCCCATTTCCTGGGTTTCCTGGGCTGCTGCGCTGTTTTATGTGGGACTTGAGCAGCTGGGGTTTTGGGTTTCGGTGTCCACTCCAGGTCCTGGAGCCCACCCCACTGTGATGGCGCTGCCATACTCCTCATCACAGCCGAGCAGATGGGGTCACCTAATCTTGCTTTCTCATATCTCAGTTCAGCCGAAACTCAGGTGCTGGCACAGCAGCTGAAAACCAGTAAGGCCGTGTTTTCCTTTTAGTCTTTTTCGGGGTGTTATTTAAAGAATTCTTTCCTTCTGAATATCACATAATTACTCTATTTTCCTTTAAAAGTCTTTCCTTCCACCATTAGATCTTTAAATTTCTTATAGTTGGAAATAATTCTTTGAATATTTTCAAAAATCTTATCTACTGCTTTCAAGGCCCAGTTTGTTCTGCAGTGCTCGACACCCAGAGCTGTGCCCTCAGGCTCCATCTGCTTCGTTCTGCTTGGCCAGTGGTGAGCGTGGACCTTTGGTAGGGCTGGCTACCTCACAAGTGCTTTCTTGACCTTCTGCTTTCCGTCGCGGCTGCAGCATTGGCTCGAGGGGCTGTCAGGGATACGATGTGGGATGCATACTGACCTCACATCCAGCCGGTGGGTGACTGCAGAGACCTGGCCTCGCTGGCCTTAGTCCGCGGTCGTGCTTGGCCTTGTTTATCTGTGTCTCCAGTGCTCTTTGCGTCTGCATGCGGATCCGAGCTTCCAACCAGGGTGTTTTCTTACTCTTTGAAGAACTTCCTTTAACGTTTCCCATAAGGCAGATCTACTGGCAAAAACCCAAACCAAAACAACAAGGAAAAACCAGTTCCACAGTGATTGCGCATCTGCTAGCTTCAACTGGCTCAGAGTTCTAGGTGGTGCCTTGCCCTTCAGCCCCCATGGTCCACCCAGCACCATGGCTCCTCTAGGTGCAGTGTGACCCCCGTTGTTGAAGCCTTGACCGAGGCTGTGCTGACAGCCTCAGAAGCAACCTTGACTTTGTTTTTTCTTTAGTCTTTGGGTTTCCCACAGTTCTCTCTCAGCCTGAACCTCTGTCTTTAGCTTCCTCGCAGCAATCCTGTGTCCCCCTGGGGGGTGCTGCAGGTGCTGAGGAAGGCTGGGGTGGGCAGGGATCTGCGGTTCTCGGACTGAGCCCTCCCAGAAGAGTGTGTACGTGCGGATTCCCACACTGGGTCACAACCCTGCCTGCCTGCCCTCACTCGCCTGTGACATTTCTTCAGTCAAATTATATTAGTGATTCATTCTTTGTTCACTGGTGTCTTGGAAGAAAAAGGTGGTTAGTTTGGGTTAACTTTCAGACAGTATTTGAGGGTGGTCCTTCCGATCTGACTAGTGCATGTAGTATTTATACTTTTTGAGTCTGTTTCCATCACTCACTCAGTTGTTTGATGTATTTGATAAAACAGGGACTAGTGTCTCATTTCCCCCGCATTCTGATCATTGTTCAGCCTAAAGGTAAGTGATAACTAGCTTGTATGTATTAATTTGATGGTTCAATGCCACCCTATGCCACCCAGATTTTACATTATTTTCCAAGTTTTCTTCCATAGCAACTGAAAGTTTTAAGGAATTGCTCTTCTGATTTTTGTAATGTCCTTTTGGTCTGAGGGCTTTTCAGAGGTTGTGTGTTTGCTGGTCTCTTCAGTGTCGGGAGAGTCCAATCCCGGATCAGCGTACCTACTGTCTCCCCACCTTTGATTAGTGGTTCTGTCCTGGGAGACGGCATGGGTTGTGCTTGTTGGTTTTTGCTGGAGAGCGTGCTGAGCCTGGCTTTCTCATCTTTCCTGTAGATCATTGAGTATATCCTGCCACCCCTGGTGTCCTTGGTTCAGAGCCAGAATGGTGAGTGCAGCCCTTGTGGCAAGCACCTCCCCTACCTGCCCACTCACCTGGTCGCTCCCTGTGCGGCCGAGTCTCACTTGACCCCTCTCTCCTTCCAGTGGAGTGGAGACTCTTCAGCCTGCGCCTGCTCTCCGAAACTGCATCTCTGCTGGTGAATCTGGTGGCCGGGGATAGCGAGGAGGAGGCAGCCATGGATGCTGAGCGCAGCCTCCTGAGCCTGGTTCGCAACGCCCTGCTGCCCCAGTGAGTACCGCTGCGCTTGTTTGCGGTGTGGAGAGGGTGAGGCAGGGGGAAGGCTCTGACTACTCTGGCTCGCAGCCGGCCACGTCTTGCAGTTCTTGTTGTGCCTGTGTGTTCACCGTCATGGGGCTGTGGACAGAGGCTGCAGTGTGAGGCCATGGGGGACAGTGGAGCCCTTCTGTTGCTGCCAGCACGGGACCACAGGGTTTTGCAGATGTGATTGTTCCCAGCTCAGGGGAGAGGGTTAGGGTTGAAGCTTAGTTGCAGGACAACTGGAACGGGAAGCTGGGACTCCTCCTTCCCATTCAGGGGAGGTGGAAGGAGCTGGTCCCGGTCCCCAGACTCTTCAAGTACAAAGAGGGCTGTTGTTTGGGGATGAGGAAGTGTTGGTGGGGTAGATCTGAGCACCAGGTGATGGAAACAGATGGCTTTTCCCTGTTACTCCATAGCTCACATGGCAAACAGCGCGACAGCCTCAGAGAGCAGCCAGTGTGGCACCTTAGAGCCGAGGGAGCATGGACTTCAGGGAGTCAGATACCCAGGCCCATGCCCTGTGCCACAGCGAGGGAAGAGTGTTGCAGAATGAGGTGCCAGGTCGTGTGCTGTGCATAGTGTGTGTGCCTGGCCGTGGCTCCCTTCTGGCTTGGGCTGCCAGCTGCCTCCCTAGTGGGTTTTCAAGAGTGGCAGCCTTTCCTGTTCTGCCCGTTGCTGTTTTAACTTCTCAAGATCTGCTCTCAGTTTAAGAAGTTAAGATGCAATTGCAGTCTGGTTTTGGCCAGTGTTGGGAGTTTGCACAATGGCGCATGAAATCAGATCCACACGGAAGTTGCACAAGTGGCTGGGCCTCCGCGTGGCGGGGCCTGCAGCTGCCCTGGAGCTGGTAGCTTCTTCGTGTTTGCTACCTGCACTTGCAGAGTTGAGTTCTGAGAGATTCCTGTTCCAAATGTGAGTAGCAGGGATTCTGCCCATATCCAGAGGAAGAGAATGATGGTGTATGTGGAAAGAAATTTAAGCTTTGTCATGTGGGACTTTTAGTTATAAGCCGTCAATATATTTTCAGTTGTCTTTGTCTTCTATGAGTGTGTGTATATGCTTCATATTCTGTTGGCTAAGTAAAAGATAGCAGCCTTGCTAAGGGGATTAATAATTTCAGTGCCCTTGAATACTTCTATTCATGTCTAATCATATGCATCTTTCTAACAAGAAAGTACCTAAAACTGCAGTTTCTGCATAAAATGTGAATTTTGAAAGAGGTACTTTGGGCATATGCTTTCTGAAATTTGCGGAGAAGTGCTTTTGAGACCTGAGCTATTTCCCTCATGGTAGGGACAGATCTCCAGCAGGCTTCACAGTCCAACCCTAGCTTGTCAGCGGTCTGAGAGTCTGCACTGGAATGGCTGTGTATCAGAAGTCTGTTCAGTTATGGAACAGTTTGTGAAATGAAATGTGTTCACTCTTAATTCCCTTCTCCCATGTTACTCATTTGAGCTGAAATAATTCTTTTTTTTTTTTTTAATGTCTTTTTCATTTTTTTATCGGTATCAGGGATTGAACTCACGACCGCCTGCTTGCAAGGCAGGCGCTTATGCCGCTGAGCTAAATCCCCAGCCCCTAGCTGAAATAATTCTTATTTCCAGCTTTTCCAGAGATAAGGAATTAAAGAAGAGAACACAGACATAAGCCACGGAGTGATTTGAGGTCACAGATAATCTAGATGAGCTCAGGGTTTTATACTATATCTTTAAATGCAGCTCAGAGCACAGCATGGGGCTGGCCAGGTGTAGAGTGGAAGGTCCTAGGGACTCATGAGATGCTCAGTCCGGTCCTCTCTGTGTTGGGCTCTGTACCTGCGTTCCACTTCTGCAGAGCACGGGTGATGTCCTTGCTCCCGAGGAGGCTGGGGGAGCACGCAGAGCCCTACTTGGAGAGTGCTAAGTGCCCGCGTGGACGTGACCCACCTGTGACAGGTGTTCAGCACCACTAGCACTGTTCTCAGGCTCTTTAATATATGCCCTCCAGTTACTCGTTATGCAGAGATCGTCACAGTGCAGCCACAGTGACAGTGTATACTTTGTAGATGGTGCTGCCTCTGCTGCCTACCTGGCACGTACAGGATGGGCTGAGTATTATTAAAGAAACACATTTATAAATGGAATATCTAGGTGCCTTCCTTCAGCTTCCTTGACTCTGGGGAACTGAAACCTTGGCAGGAGTTTGTTCTTCAAAGATGATTCTCTGTAATTATAAGTTTGTAAATGCAGATAATGGGAAATTCGTATTCTCCATTGGGTATATAAACATAGTAGCTTAAAAATTGTGAGGTGTCTAAAATCCATAGTAGCTCTCTGGAAACAAAAAGACCCAGTTCCAACTGACTTAGAAAATCTGTTTCTCTCACCATGGTGCCCATGGCCAGTTACGTTCAGACCCACCGGCCACCACCGCATCTGTTGTCTGCTATGGATAAATTTCTGACCGTGTCGATAGATGGATGAATTATTATTATTATTATTTTCTGGTACTGGGAATTGAACTCAGGGCCTTGCACTTACCAGGCAGGCGCTGTGTCCCTGAGCTATGTCCCCAGCCTCTCAGTGAGTGACTTCATGGCAAGGAGTGTTACCCCTTCTCGGTGTCACCATGTCCTCCATGGGTTCAGTTACACTTGGAGCGAGGGTGTGACTGGCAAGGAAAGGACAGCAGCCCAGGTAGGGGCAGGGAGGCCAGACACAGGTGCGGGTGCTAGTGGCCACCTGTCCCCATAGCAGGCTCCTGGGAGCTCCCTGGGGCCAGAAGGGAAGGCATTTCCTCCAACTGGCCCAGAACTGAGCACACCCAGATTTGCAAGTCCAGTGGTTAGCACCAAGCTGGGCACAGCTTCTGCCCACATGGAGGCCGCTCTTTATAGAGCCAAAGGTACCTGGGAAGGTTTTCAAGTCCGGGGTGCATAGAGGTGCTTTCAAGCTCTGCTTAAATACTGAGCCACCTTCTCAACCTGGGAGCCAAGGTGCTCATGTTAATAAATCCAAGACCTCATGTTCGTTTTGAATTCTGCTTTGCTTTTCGCCTGTTTCCCACGGTCCACGGTTCAGGGTGTGATTTTCCTGTGCCCCTGCAGTGAATTCTCCCTGGACTCTGTGGCCTCCTGCACAGCTTGGGAACACCATTCCTGGGTTGTTGGCACTGTGTCGGGAGCAGGGTAGAAGCCTCTGGGCCAGGATGGTCCCCTAAGTGTGATCGCTCATGGTGCCAGCCCAATCTCAAACTCTCTTGTTGCGTGCACTTGGTGGCATAGTACAGTCCCACGCCATGTCCCAGCTCCTGGGACCCTCTGCTCGCCAGGTGCTGCCCAGGAGAAACCCATGCAGCTGCGGGCTGAGTCCCTTTCGGAAGGCGCAGAATGCTTTCCGGTTGTTGGCAGAATCCAGTTTATTGTGGCTTACATTGTCTTCCTTGGGGTCCCGGAACAAATGTTCATGAAACCATTGGCTAAGAACAGAAGAAGCAAGTTCTTCAATAGCCCAAGAGGCCAGAGCCTGAAAGCAGGGTGCCGGTAGGGCTGGTGATCCATGCTGGGCCGCCCACCTTCTGATCCCTTGTGCCTCGTGTCGCCTGCCTTTCCACCCTGGACTTCCTATCTCAGGTGTCCCTCTGTTCCTCTTCTGCAAGGACAGCTGTGCTGGTTTAGAGCTCTCTAAGTCCAGGGTGACTGTGTCTTTTTGGGGGGGTGGTTGTGTGGGATTGACTCAGTGCCTTCACACTGAGCTGCACTCTATCCCTTTTTTATTTTGAGACAGGGTTTCACTGAGCCACTGTTGCCCTGGCTGGAACTTTTGATCATCTGGCCTCGGCCTCCCATAGTGCTGGTGTGGTGCTGTGCCATGACGTGTGGCTCAGGGTGACCGTGCCCTGACATCCTTAACTATAGCTGCAGAGCCCCCTTCTCTGTGTAAGGTCACTGCTAAGGCTTGTATGTGGATGTTCCCCCAGCCTCATGTGCTCATAGGTGGGGCTTTGGGAAGTGGCTGGATCATGGATGTGTGGTAATCAAACTGATCTAGCATTGTTCTGGGTGTGGATAGTGGCAGCCTCGCCCGGGTGTGGGTGGTGCCAGTCAGTAGACTTGTAGCCTACTGGACTATAAAGGCACAGAAAGAAGGCAAGCTGCCGCTGCTGCTGCTCCTTGCCTGCCACACCATGGACTGTTTCTCCTCTGTGGTGCCCCTCTGCCATAGCCTCTGCCTTGGAGCTAGCCAACGATGGACTTGTCTCAGTTACTTTTCTCTTGTTCCTGGGACAAAATACCTGGCACCCAAAATTAAGGAAGAAAAGGTTTATTTAGTTCCCAGTGTGTAGAGGTTTCAGTCCATACTCAACTGGCTCCCAAGCAAGATGGCTTGGCAGAGAGGCAGCAATTTATAGGACTGGAAGACAGCAAAAGCATGTGGGTGCAGCACTCACACCCCCAGTGCCAGTACTAGACTGAAAAGCCCACCCCCGCTGACCACATTGAGGCTTTGGGGGCATCTAGACAAAAACCCTAACAGGACTGAAACCTCTGCAAACTGTAAGCTAAATGTTTCCTCCTGTAAGTTGGGAGAGTCAGGTATTTTGTCCCAGCAACAGGAAAGTAACTAAAACAGTCCCATCTATAGGCTGCCTGTGTCAGGCTGTACACATACATTTTGGAGTGATTACCCAGCCTACTGTTAGTTGCAGGACCGTGGTACCTACATTGGTCCCGTGCCTCATGTCCTTATAGTGTGTAGAGTTTTGCTCACATCCTCTTCCTACTTCCAGCCAGGTCTCTGATGCCCTCCTTTGTCACCAGCCTGGGAGCTCTGTGCTCCTGCTGTGGCGGACATTGGCCAGCATCGCCTTGGTCTTGTGGCTGTTGGGTTTGGATTCGGAGCTTGGCCCTGTGCTGACCCCAGCATGGGTGCCCTCGCTTTCCCCTTCTGCTTCCTTTCCATCTTCCTCCCTTTCGTCTGGAGAGTTAGAAT